AAGTTCAACTGCAAATAATCTTCAATCCCTGAATATGAACATACCATGTACATTCACAGTTCAGTGGCTTCCTAAGCATTATTCCCTCCGCCCAGAATGTTCCCCCACCACCCCACGTTCCCCCACCACCAGGAGGACAAGTCTCACTCACCCTGCAAAACCCAGCTCAGCAAGACCTTCTCTGAGCAGCCCTCTCCACGTCCTCCTTACCCAGGCAGAGTTAATCACCTACAGCTTATGCTACCCCACACCTGAATACGCCTGGACCTTTTCACACCTCCTCCATGCTGTAATTTTGTCCTGTTCTGAGTCCCCGCTAGACTCCGACACACTGGGAGTCCTTCCAGGGGTAGAAGGATGTAGAAGAATTCATCAGCACACCACCTGCGCCAGCACAGTGCCCGCCTCACAGGGAGCCAAGTTTGCTCAACTGGGTTCAATTTCCGTTTGGCAGGTAATGGCTCTTCCTTTTCACTCCCCACAGAAAACAAGTGACTGCCTTTCTTTCCTCATTTTTGGAAGCCCTGCCTCCCACACAGCTGCAGTGGACACCCCAGTCCCCGGATGGACGAAGAGAGCCAACTGAGCCAGCCCCAAGACCAGAGCTGCTGGGCCAGCCTGCCTGACGTGTGTCTGCGCCGTGTCTTCTGGTGGCTGGGAGACAGGGACAGGTCCCAGGCAGCCCTCGTCTGCAGGAAGTGGAACCAGATGATGTACTCGGCTGACCTCTGGCGACACCGGACCATCACGTTCAGTGGGAGGCCTTCCAGGGTGCATGCTTCTGAATTCGAGTCAGCGCTCTGGTATGTGAAGAAATTTGGTCGTTATCTGGAGCACCTGGAGATCAAATTCCTGAACCCTTACAATTCTGTCTTGACCAAGAAGTTCCAGGTCACCATCCGGGGCCTCCTCTCGTGTCTGGGCAGGAGCAACAACCGCTTGAAGTCTCTTTCCATCCAGCACCTGGAGCTGGACCGCCTGGTCTGGAGGAATAGCATCCGATGCTCCTTCATCAAGAGCTTGAGCTTCTTCTTAAAGAAAATGGGTAAACATCTGGATTACCTCAACCTCAAAGGGGCCAGACTAACCGTGGAGCAAGGCTGCCA